ACAGTCCCATGAATTCACTGAGGTCAGAGCCTAACACCCTCCATTTTGATCCCTATTTTGTAATGGAAAGTTTACCTTCTTAGCTGGTTTTTGACACCAGAGTGACACCAATTTTAAAGCAAACAGAGCTTCCTTATTCTCATGTATTCATTCATTCAATAATTTATTTTTTTGCCATACCATCATTTAGGTTTTGTAGATACACCAGTAAAAATACAGATCAGAATTCCTGCCCTCATGGTGCTTCTATTTCTACTGGGGGAAGAGGAGAGGAAGTAAAGGAGTGGCAAGAAGTCTTTACAGGGGTCACTAAGGCCATAGGCTAACAGCAAGTTTGGCAATTCAAAGAAAACAGTCACTCTGTGGGAGAAAGATGAGGCTTTTTGCTCTCGTAAAGGTTTACAAACTTGGAAACCCTATAAAGGTTCGTGATAAGTCAGAATCAACTTGATGACAGTGAGTGAGAATGTCTCCAACACACTCTTCCTCTTTCATCTAATACAGAAAGCATGTGAGATTATCTAATTCACCCCACATTTAACCTATAAATCATTGGTACCTGACCACTGGCATCTCACTCCTCTATATGATCCTGTGGAGAAAATGAGTGTGTCTGTAGAAAATAATCATTGGAAAATTCAAAGTCACATCTGTGTGTCAGAATATATGACTCTATCTTAAAGATATTTTGACTTACCTCAGACAAACCCAGTGGCCTGTTTTGCACCACAGGCAGCACACACACACACACACACACACACACACACACACACACACACCCCACCTGCTGAGATGAAAGACATCATAAAGAATTTTGCTTATCAATAAAAATACTAGTAAAACATAAATTAAACAGGTCATTTTAACTACATGTAAGAATTGGCCACTTTACTCTTCAGCTCTATGATGACTTTTCTCTCACATTTGAATGAAAATGTAGATACAGAATCATGATTTCCACATTCCCCTCCACCAGTTCTGAAACCACCCCATTATATCCCCAGGTCATCTTGTTTGGGGAGAATACAAGGTTTTTCTTCATCCGTTCCTTTCCTTTCTTTCTTTTTCAGCTTTCTTTTCTTTTTGGCGAATTGGGTGAAGGTTTTCAGAGCAGGTCAGTTTTCTACTCAACAGCTCATGCATATTTTGTTTCATGTCATTGTAAGTCCCACAGTGTGGCATTACTGATCTTACTTCCTCCTTGTTTCCTGTTTCCATGTCTCCATCTTTCCTAACCCTTCTGAACTTGACCCTTAGGGAAATGCTGCCCTCTGATCACAATGGATTAATTATTTTAAGTTGTGCATACCTCTCCTCATCCTTTCCTTTATTTACCTTTATTTTATTCTTAATGATAGGCTGGTTTGGGTTTGTTTCTCATGTAAAGAAGGAAATTCTTGCCTAGTACCTGATAAACTATGAGGATGTTGTTATTAAGTACTGTGAAGTCGGTTCCGACTCATAGTGATCCTGTACAGGGTTTCAGAGGCTGTAAATTTTTACGGGAGCAGAAAGCCTCATCTCTCTCTCATGAAATGGCTGGTAGTTTCAAACTGCCGACCTTGAGGTTAGCAGCCCAATTCATAACCACTATGCTGGATACGCAACACAATAAGATTTCAACTGAGCTTCCACTGAATGGATCATATTCGCAGTGAGTAGTGGCATCTGCCTGAAATGCCAGTGCACTTGACAACCCCTGAAAAGCTAGTTTGTCATTTTTCACAGTTAAGTAGTTTCTGTAGCTGGGCTCACTGTGACCAGTCTTCGTCGAGTTGATTCTGACTCATTGTGATCCCTTGTGTGTCAGAGTAAAACTGTCCTCCTTAAGATTGTTAAGGACTGATTTTCCAGCCATTTTTTGGGGGCACCTCTGGGAAGATTCAAACCTTCAAACTTTCAGTTAGTAGCTGAATGCATGAACTGTTTGAATCATTGTGGGACTCCAGAGCTCAGTGGCGTAAAGCTTGCTTGTTCATTTCATGAGGTGTGTTGTTGTTGTGAGGTGTTGTAGAGTTGATTCTGACGCATAGTGACCCTGTGCGCGACAGATTGAAACACTGCCCGGTCCTGCGATATCATTACAATTGTTATGTTTGAACCCATTTTTACTGTCACTGTATCAATTATCTCATTGCAAGTCTTCCTCTTTTTCACTGACTCTGCACTTTACCACATATTCTTTCCTTCTCCAGGGACTGGTTCCTCCTGATAACATGTCCATTTGCAAGAGATAAGTCTCACCATCCTTACTTCTAAGGACCATTCGGGCTGTATTTTTCCCAAGACAAATTTGTTGGTTCTTCTGGCAGTTCATGATACTTTCAAAATTCTTCCCCAATATCATATTTCAAATGCATAGTTTCTTCAACGGTCTTCCTTATTCATTGTTCAACTTTCATATGTATATGAGATGATTGAAAATATCATGACTTGGGTCAGACACCCCTTTGTCCTCAAACTGATATCTTTGCTCTTTAATACTTTTAGAGAGTACGGTGCTGTTGTTCAGTGCTGTGGAGTTGGTTCCGACTCATAGCAAGTAGAGAAGACTGTTGGAAATCAGATGGCCTGCTCTCAAATACAGTCTTCGTTACTTACTAATTGAGTGCACCTGTGACTAGTTACATTTCCTTTTTGAGTCTCAGATTCTTTATATGTTAATTATTAAAGAATGCTCACAAAACTGTATATAATTACATTAAATAATATGAGTATCTATAATGCATCCAGCATAATGTCTGTCATATAGTAATTGTACAATAAATATCAGCTGCTATTATTTGAATTTATTTTAAGTCAAACTCTGGAGGTTGTGGTAATACAAAGATTAACTTACAGCATTGTCCCAGTCCTCAAGACAGATGAGTTACAAGGTGATTGAAATACGGTGGAATATGATCAGTGTCGAGACAGGAGATAAGTCACGGAGGTTCGAAGAAAGATAGTATGGAGGAAGTCATCTTTTGAACTAAGCGAAGAAAGAGAAGTAAATAATTCTAGGAAGAAAGAAAGGCAAGGCGATGTAAAAATGTACGTGTGAGTGCGTCAGGGCAGCCCATCTCATGTGGGCTGGACCATGGGGAAAATGAAGACAATTTAGGCAGTACATGATTGGAAAGATAGGTTGGGGCCTGTACTTTCTTTTGAAATTAATAAGGAGTCATTGAAGGTAAAATGTTCATGAGCACTATTATAACAATGATTAGAAATGAAGTTCAGAGAGAGGGTACAACATAGAAAACCTTGACAGCATTATGCTGAATGAAATAAGCCAGTTACAAAAGGACAACTCTTAGGTGCTCCTATTTTGATGGACACGTGCTGATTAGTGGTTACCAGGGGCAGGTGGGAGGAAGAGAGAAAAGAGGACTCAGTGAGCCTCTGTTAAGTTGTTGTCAGTTCTGACACATAGCCACCCTGTACAGGGTTTCACAGGAGCAGCTGGTGAGTTTGAACCACTGACCTTGTGATTTGCAGTCCAGTGCTGATCCTACAGCACCACACTAGGAGTCCAACTCATAGCGACACTGTATAGAGTTTCCGAGGCTTTAAATCTTTGCAGGAGCAGAAAGCCTCATTTTTCTCCCTCGGCGTCACTGGTGGGCTCAAACCGCTGACTTTGTGGTTTGCATCCCATTGAGTCATCACAGTCTGTTAAGAGTGATGGCATAATTTGGGAATGGAAAAGGATAATGGTTGAACAACATGATGAACCATTAATGTCATTGAAATGTACATGGAAAGGTGGTTGAAATATAAACATTTTTCATATATATATTTACCACAATTAAAACCATACTATTTAAGTAATGTATAGGAAGTCAGTCTTGAATTTGTTGATGAAATAGCATGAATTTCTAAATTATAATCAAGCCCTTTTTAGTTGCTTTAGATACTTCATTGTGTTGTGTACACATTATAGTATGCTTCTTTGTGTTAATGATATGTTCTATTTTTCCCCTTCTTTTCCCAGGTTTAATATCTATTCCTTTGTACATTCCTCCCGCACTGTTCGACTGGAAATTGGAAGATGAGTTGTGTACATTTTGGCTCCTTATTGACTACCTTTTGTGTACAGCGTCTGTGTATAACATTGTCCTCATCAGCTATGATCGATACCAGTCAATTTCGGATGCTGTAAGTCAAACCTCAACTTACCCATCTTCAGAGGGTGGTGGTGGTGGTGTGCCGTGGAGTCAGTTCTGACTCATAGAGATCCTGCATAGGGTTTCCTAGGCTATAAATCTTTACGGGATCAGAAAGCCTCATCTGTCTCCCACGGAATGGCTGGTAGTTTCGAACTGCTGACATTGAGCTTAACAGCCCAATTTGTAACCACTACTGGTAGCGTAGTGGTTACGAATCGGGCTGCGAGCCGCAAGGTCACCAGTTCGAAACTACCAGCGGTTCCACGGGAGAAAGATGAGGCGGTCTGCACCCGTAAAGATTTACAGCCTCGGAAACCCTATGTAGAGTCACTATGAGTCGGAACCGACTCCACGGCACATAACAACAACAATGCTACCAGAATTCCTTTCTTCAGGGGGTATATAAACTTAAATTTTGTATTCCTACATAAATATTTTTAAAATATGATTTTTTGTTTAGCTGCAAAACTTCAAAGGAGCCTTATCCTTTGGTAATCTGACATAAAATTCTCATTGGACTTTAGTGGGAATTTTCTGTGTGTGATTTTAGTAAGTCACTACTTCTCTTTGTGCCTCAAAAATTGAAGATATCTAAAAAGAACAAAGACAATTGTCAGAGGTGGTAAATTGAATATAGTGGTATACTGTGAGAAGATTAGATTCAAATTCCGTTTCAGAGACTAATTGAGACCTGAATACTTTCCTTAGGTTGAAGCTTGGCATTCAGTTAAAAAAAAAAAACTCTCAATTTTCAAATGCGATGAGAAGTTCAATTCTTGATGGCCAAAGGAAAAGACAGTATTCGGGCAATCTAGAGGTTAAACAGGACACCAGCCAGAAAGATCAGACTTCAGTACCAGTTTAGAACAACATCAAGAAAGTCTAAACTTACCCAAGATTTAGAAGAGCTTCATCCACAAGATTGTGACAGTTCTTACAACAACTAGATTTATCAGCAGTAAAGCAAAAGGGAAAGTGAGATTTACACAAGGGCAACACGTAGAAAGGGGTCAGAGAGAGATGAGCAGTGATCCGAAAGTGTTTAGGCCTAGATGGGAAACTCCCTTCCTTCCTGAGACCTGGAGACCCAGCTCATTAGTGACAGGTGTTTTCCTAAGTGCTAGGATTCAGAAGTGAATAGAGTTTCTGCTTTGGAGGAGAATACTAACTTAACACGGAACAGGTCCATAAGTGACTACAATGGACAGATGGTTGTGGTAGCAGCGTTGAGGAGATGACAGCTCTGGCCTATGAGAACCACACAGACAGGGGCAGACAGGAGTGGGAGGGTGTATTAGATAGGGCATAGGATAAAAGGCTGTGACAAAAACATTCCAACATGTGGAGGGCCAAATAAGCTAGAAGTTTATCTTTCTCTCACAGAATGGTTGAGGAGAGGTTGTTGTTGTTGTTAAGTGCTGTTGAGTCGATTCTGACCCATAGTGACCCTGCATAGGGTTTCCTAGGAGCAGCTGGTGAGTTTGAACCACCGACCTTGCAGTTCCAACGACTTTGCATTCTGACGCATTAGCCCACAGCGCCAAAGCTCCCCAGGAGAGGTGGGAGGGGCTATTTCAGCTACTCATTTAGGGACCAGACTAACCAGGTGCTGCTGCAGCTTCTAGGGGAGGAGTTGGCAAAATTTTTCTGTTAAGGGCAAAATAGTAAACATTTTTCACCTTGGTAGGTTTTATGATCTCTTTTTACAAACTACTCAAATCTGCCCTTGTAGAAAGAAAGCAGGCACAGACAATATATTAAAAGAAAAAAAAAGGACTTGGGTCTATTCCAGGGTCTCTGGGTGGCACAAATAGTCTATGCTTGACAATGAACCTCAAAGGTTGGCATTTGGAAGCCACCCAGTGGCATCACAAAATAAAAGCCTGATGATTATAACTAATAAAGCCCTGCAGGCAGCTCTCTTTTATAACATATGGAGTTGCCCCAAGCCAGACCTGACTCCATGGCAACAAGGTTTTTTTTTGTTTTGTTTTGTTTTGTTTTTAAATATGTTCTAATAAAACTTTAAACAGTTGGCAGGCCGCATTTGACCCAAATATAGTAGTTTGCTGACTCCTGTTCTAGGTCCTGTCTTCATCTGTAGGTTCAAAGGCAAACTGCAGGTTGCAGACAGAAAGGGGAGAGAGTGGAAATTCAGGGCAAGGGATTTTCTTTCAACCAAGTAGTGCATAATCACACCTCAGCTCCATTCACATTTTACTGGGAAAACTTTGTCACATGGTTAGACCTCACCACAGGGAAATGTGTCTATAACAGAAGGGCCATAAGTCAAGGAAGGTGGGGAGAATGAGTTTGGGACAGCCACCCATCTCTGCTGGTGTTAGGATAAGCAATAGATTGCTAACCACAAGGCCGGCAGTTCAAACCCACCAGCTACTCCATAGGAGAAAGATGAGATTGTCTGTTACTGTAAAGATTTAAAGTCTCAGAAACCCTATATAGGGTCGCTATGAGTCAGAATCTACTTGATGGCAGAGGTTTTGAGTTAGCTATCTCTACCACTTGGCATTTGGGACTTCATTGGTGCTAGGAGCCACACTGCTTTGTATTGGCCACCAAAGGAGAGAGGCCAGATCGGTTTGGATTAACAATCTAGGTGCCTAGAATATTATATTTTTCAAATTGTGGGTATTGACTGAGTCATGAAGTGAATTCAGTGAGTTGTGGCAAGTGGCTTTTTTTTTTTTTAAATGTACGAATATGGAATGGAGCTGAGCAGAACAGAATAGAATAAAATACAATAGAATACAATACATTAGAATAGAAAACATGAGTACATTGCATATACTAAAGGTAAGTATTGTTTTGTATCTTCAGTTATGGATAAAATATATTTGTTACTTTATGTCACAGTCAGATTTTTTGAAAAACAGATTTGATTCATAATCTTTCCATTTGTATTTTTTAAAAACATAATATCTATGATCTTGATGTCTGAGAAGATGTCTTCAGATCTGTACAAGTTCTGGAGCCTAGCCTCAAGTTTATAGACAGACACAGGAAAGCTTGCCCATGTAGAAAATATGTGTAGAAGTTACAGAGAAGCGAGGATTGATATCTGGAGGAAAAGTGGGTGGGTTTGTTTCTGGTCTGGCCCTGGAGAATCCCTCTGGTAAAACATACTATGAACGTGGTAGACCGTGTCTGCAAGTTTCGAGTCCCTGGTACTATTCAGGGCACCAAACACATGGTGTGCTGAGGAAGACTGCACGGTGCATGTATGGTGTGCTCCGGCGGCAGAGTTCATGTGCAGCCATGTGAAGCCAGAAGAAAGTCTTCAAAGATCATTAAAAATGCTGAGCTTTGGCTGTAGATGACAGTAGAGGAGATGTAGTGATAGGATAGGGGCATGTGCGGGATCTGGCAAATAGAAATCTTACAATAATTTGAAAAAAAGGAAGAAAAGTCCAATGCAGATAGCAGCCTATGATGACGGTGCTCAGAGAAGTTAATGGAATGTTATGGATGAGGGAACAGTGGATGGAAGAAGAATAGCAGGGCCAGATTACAGCTAGAGAGAATGGGAATTAAAATGTGTTCAGAATTAATATTGTAGGAGAAGAACATTAGTTTTAGATGAAGAAAGAAGCTATACTATGAAATCAAGACTGTCGTAAATATGATTGTAAGGACTGGCAAGGATACTTACAATTGTCCAGCAATTCCATCTCATCATTAGCACAAGCATGTTCTAGTGGGCTATTCTACCTCAGAAAGCAACTTGACTAACAGGGTGTTTGGATATTTTATTGGGGTGGAAAACAAGTAGAGTAAGAGGCAATATTCTGAATGATAATGTATTCTATAATTGGGTGAGGACTGGGCCATTGACTGAGTTTAAAGAGGCAGATTCAACAGACGTGGGTTGGGACTCAAGCAATGCTCTAGTTGTCCATCTATCAAAAATGGTACCAGAAGTGAATTGATCAGCATCTCCTTCCCAATTCCCTTGGATGTCCATTATCTCACTTGACCTTATGCATAATGGAAGAGATCACTTTGTAGCATATTGCATCATATCATTACAAAGTCTGAACAGAGCAATTAAAAAACGAAATGCAGTTTTATGACCATCTGGGTATTGTTACCATCTCCATAATCATTAGATTTAGTTCAAGAGATGTATTAATTAGTGGCATGAGAAGCAGAAGGCAAAAAAGCGTATCAAAGATGGGAGCTTTGGTCAGCACCATATGCATTTTAGCTTAGCCTCAAAAATATCAGTATATTGGGGGAAAATAAATCTAGATAAACAAAAACACTTTCCTGCAGTTTTTTTTTTTTTTTTTTCTTAAAGAACTTTTCTTTTTTTAGGACAAAACAAAACAAACAGCATCCTCTTAGCTCCATCCAATTTAGTGAACCTTTCTCAACATTTCTAATCCATCAAAGAAAGAACACCAGGCAAATAAAAATGAGAAAACATTGTAGAATGAAATTTCATACTTCCAGAGAAAATAGTGTATAGTGATGGTGAAGAGGTAGGCCTGCTCTGACTTCCTGAGTAGATCCTTGCCTTCCTGTGAGCCGGAAATCAGAGCAACATGAAATATTTGAGTGGAAGGGAACTTACAGGTCAAAAACAGTTTCAAAGAGAGTCTCTTCAAGGTTTCCTTACAAATGTTTTTGCTCTGTAAGTTTGTCCCTCGTGTTGTGTAGTTGACTTTGTGGATCCTGTGATATGGGGACAGTTCTCATTCAAACAATCTCATTTCCCTCTATAAATACGTGGTAGAGGTGGTGGTCGTTGTGAGCCATGGAGTCGGTTCTGACAGCAACTCAGCATAGGGTTTCTAGGGCTGTAGGATAAAACACTGGACCTCAAGGTCAGTTTGAACCACAAGGT